ACATAGATTTAGGAAGGGGCCACTAGATGGTGGTATTCATTTTTGTAATAGAGCCCAGGCAAAGTCTTAAAGTCCAAAGATCATAGGACTGACAGTGGAGCAGTGTTTTGGAAAGTTTCTTGTAAATTCATAGTTGTAACTTCTGCTGTCAAGCCTTGAGCTGTATTGGTTTCTAAGTTTTTGCTAAGGCAGCTCTCCCAGCCTTCCACTGATTCTGGGAGGGCGTCAATAACCTTCCAGTAAAATTCTCTCTCTTTATGCTTTTGTTTTTTTGTTTTGTTTTGTTTTCTGAAACAGATTGGATAGCAGAACTAAAAATTGCTGTTAACCAATTTATTTTTTATTGTTTTGTTTTTCTTCTTACTTTTCATTACAGAGAATTTTAAACATGTACAAAAGAAACAGAATGATATATTCAACTTCTAATATCAATCACCAAGCATCAACAGTCATTGACAATCTGCCATTCTTAATTTATCAAAACTTCACCACCCCAACACCTATGCGGATAGTTTTTTACAGTTCCTTTTTTAATGAGATAAAATTTACATATTTTGAAAGCACTTTTTTAAAAAGCAGTTTTAGGATCACAGCACAATTGAGCAGAAAGTACAGAGATTTCCCATAATCCCTGCCCCCACATCTTCACTCATGCACAGCCTCCTCCATTATCAACGTCCCCCCACAGAGTGATACATTTGTGACAACTGATGAACCTACACTGACACATCATTATCACCCAGAGTTCATAGTATACATTAAGGTGAACTCTTGTTGTACATGCTGTTGGTTTGGATAAATATGTAATGATGTGTAACTGCCATTGTAGTCATTAAAGTATCATACAGAATAGTTTCACTCCCCTAAACAGCCCCCATATGCTACTCATTCATCCCTCTTGGCCCCTAACCCCTGGAGAAATGCACAAATTTTAACTGTACAGTTCCAAGATTTTTTTGAAGGACCTAGTTTGGAAGTTTCCAATAACGTAGAGCAAAAAGAAAAAGGAAAGTTATGAGAGAAAATGAAAAGATAAATCCAGTAAACAAAGTAAAAGTTTACTAAGATTTCCAAGAGAAGTTAATGAAGAAGAAAGAAAGGAAAAATCAAATATATTGTAGAAGAAAATTTTCCTAAATTCAAGAAAAATTTGGAACTTTGTTCAAAAGGGCCTAATAAATGTTGAATAAGATTAAAAGAAAAACATACATGCACATACCTTCTGTACATCCTGGGGAAAATACTGAACTCCAAGAATAAAGGAAAATTCCTCGAGCATCCAAATGGATTGATATTAATAACAATAATACAATAATATGTTACAAGTAAGTTTCTTTGATGTAATTGGTATCTTATTTTGAGATCCTCAGCCTCAAGTCACAGGAAAAAGAAATAAAATTAAAAAAATATATATCGTAAATATGAAAATATGCATTTATCATTAAAAGAATACAAATTAAAATAACATCACATTTTTCTACTTGTCATATTAGTGTAAACTGACAATTTTGAAATACAAAGCATTGATGGGGCAAGCAAATGCAAATAATCACTTAAACAGATAATAAATTGTTATAAAACTTTTTGAAGGGCTATTTGACAATATTATCATATTTTAAATATACATATTCACCCAGAAAATTCACTTCTAAAATATATATATATGTGCGTGTGTGCGTATGTGTGTGTATGTGAATGTATTGGCAGCGGGAAATATTGGGAAAACCATTGAATTAGAAAGAACCTAAATGTTCATCAGTATCATCAGGATGAGACTGGTTGGTAAATTTTAGCAAATTGTATACAATTTATTCTGTTAGGCCAGGTATGGACCCTATGTTCACCTTATGGTTATTCAGGTGTGGGCAATGGAAGATGGGAATGTAGGGGGTGGGACAATTGAAGGCAAGAAGGGATCATGGCTACTACCAGGAGGGTTTTGTGTTTGGCCGTTTCATCAGCTTCACCAGAACACATCAATTAGGGAAGACCAGTTGCCCAAAGGAAAGGGAGAATGATATTAACAGACATGAGTAAGAGACACTGAGTATGCGAAAAGAACAGCTGTTCATTGACAGCGCTGGCTGAAGTTCCTGCAGTATCAATCTTTTCATAGTGGTAGAGACAGTACAATATTTGCTGACTTACACTGAGGGCCTGGTGGGGGAGCACTCCCAAATTTGTAGAGGAATGTCTCAGTCTGTCCCACAAGACAACTACCATGAGCTCTTCTGAGGAAAGAACAATTTAGGCATGGCTTAACATTGAAGATTTGTCTCTGCTCCATGTGGTGTCAACAAGGCTAGCTCAACATGCAGCTGGAAGAATCACTTACAAGATAGTGCATACATGGCTATTGCTGTTGACTGGGAACTCAGCATTGAGTTACAGGCCTTTGTTCCTTCTCTGACGATCTTTCCTTCAGCGCATAGAACTCATTTTCAGGAATGGCTGTCTCAAGAAACAAAAGTGGAAACTACCATTTTCTTAAGACCTGTGCCTGGAAATTAATCCAGCATCACCTAAGTTACATTGTATCAGTCAGTCGTAGAACCTAGATTCAAGGGAAGGGACACTGACCACACCACTCAAAGCAAGGAATGATAAAACATTTGGAAGCTATGTCATAAAACTGCCACATCAGGTTCAGGGGAAACAATTTCAGTTTTTTATGGATCCTCTGAAAAGCCTTGAGAGTTTAGGTGTGAACTATACATTATGTATGACCAGCTGGCTTACTATGTGTAATATCTGGCATCACATTATATTGCCACCTACACCATAGTTAAATCAAGATTGCACCATAGTCTATGCCAGAATTTCCTGACCCATCCCACAATCTGCTTTTGGTCAAAATTCAGCTCCTCTAAGAGAGAACTTAATCAAGAGGGATTTGCTGTCTTATCACTTGAATGTCAGCTCTGGATAGCCATGTAGTGACATTTAAGCTCTGGCAGATGGTGAAGAACTGCATAAAGAATGAGGACAATCATAAATATCACAAGAGACATTTGAAAACAATTTTTTATTGATTTTTTTTTTTTTAGTTAACCTACACCTAAACAGGAGAACATATATCAAGAATCAGTTTGATCAACCTTAGCTGAATAACCATAAGGGTTAGCGCAGGGTCTATACAAAAATCGACTAATTGTTTTATTTTTCTTGATGGGTACAAGATATATTGGCTATTGTATGACCTGTAAATAGTTGAGGGCAATTGTATTATTCTGGATGATTTTAAACAGCAAGTTTATATTAGTCTGTTGAATTTCCTAACTTGTGTTGTTATTTGCCTCATGGTCAATATGATCACATGTTTTAGTTTTGAAACTTCTAGCCAGTGTAGACTCCTGTGTCCTGGACAATTCCTAGTAAATTAACTGGGCTTCTAAAAATGAGTTACTGAAAGATTTGTTTTGCATATTAGGAAAAGCAGGATGATCTGTCCAAACTATAGGTCATGGTTGATGTGATAAGTGCATAAGGGCTGTACAAGAATAGCTCTGAGGGTTTACACTAAGGAGAGAAAATTACTATATGAATTTATTTGGTCTGCATAGTCTTAAATAAACTTTGTTATAGTTTCCGAATATCTGAGACAATAATTGGACTACAGTTTATTTCATTAGTCTATGTTCCCTTTTATCTTTGATGTCTCTAGAGTTTCTTTGAGGATCTAGGAAGCATCAGGAACTATACCATTATCAGAGTCCAGAGATATAGAGTAGATATGCTGTGGTTAGTAATATTAACTATATTACTACATTATATTATAGTTAATATTAACTATAATAGTAACCTATAGGATTTAGGGGCTAGATGACAAATATGACAGACTTGGTAATTTGAAAGTTTTATAGTATACTAATATTTTTCCACTGGCACCCCAGAATTGCACCATTTCCTTTATGCAGTTTCTCAATTAAAAAAAAAAAACTAAAAATGTGCAGATAAATTATTATATGTAATTTGTTAAATAATAGAAGAAAATTCCCCTGAACTGGAGAAAAATTTTTATGTTCAGATTGGAATAAGTCCTGGATTCCCAATGTGATGGGATACTCCTCCCTTAAAAAGTTGGAGTTTATCCTCTTTCCTTTGAGTGTAGGTTGGACTTAGTAACTTGCTTCTGATGAACAGAATATGATGGAAGTGACAGGTGACTTTTGAGACTGTGTCATAAAAACACTGTAACTTTTTCCTTGCCTTTTTTCTTAGATCAGTTACTCTGGGGAAGCCAGCTGCCATGTCAGAAAGAGTTAAGCGGCTCTACAAACTCATATGGCAAGGAGCTAAGGCCTTCAGTCATGTAGCTCTCCTCCAAAACCATATTTCAAATGAATTAATTTATATTACAAATAATGCTATTGGTTCTCTAAGTTTATTTTCTCTTATTTCAATGGTAAATACACATTGAGTTGACATGAAACAAAATTTTAATATTTGGCTCTTACAATACTTTTTACAGCAGCTCAAAAATACAGCGATGTTTTATAATTCCAATCCACTCAACAAAGTGGATAGGGTCACCAGTTACACTACACTTCTTTCCACCACACTGGAAATATGGACTACAGAAAAACCTAGCACCTCCCAGCACTGCTGGGAACGGCACCCTCTTCACCATTTAGTCATGCCTTCCTTTTTCTACCCTTTCTGGGACACAAAGCACCCTAGCCTGCGGATAAGAAGTTTTGTAAATTACAATTCTTCTCTTCCCAGTTTCTGCCGGGCGCACGAAAGCAGCGTCATCGTACAATCAGCTCGGAGTTTAAGAATTGTACTTCCGAAGCCTAATGACTAGCCCTCACTTGGCCACTGCAGCTTCAGAGGCTGGAAGGCAGTAACACTGGATGCCGACGCAGGATTGGCCCGGCAAGCCCTCACGTGGCCGCTTGGGCCCAATGACCTGGGCCCACGCTTTCCAGACTGCCGCATGCGCTCACAGAGCCCGAGCTCTCCCAGCGCCCCGCCCCGGCCGCACTGTGCGCTTGCGTTAATCCTCCCATGAGGTCCCGTCCGCCAGAGTTGCGGATCCCTGTCAAGAGGAGTTTTCCAACTCGGCCACGGGACTGTGTCCTGATTGGCTTGCTCTGGAGGCGGGGACAGGACTCTTTTGAGACCAGGACCACTTCCGGAAGCGCGAGGCAGGAAGTTATCTCGTATCTCTGGAGCCCCGTGGAGAAAGTGCTACCTGCCCCACTAGTGGCGGCGAGAGCTGAAGGTTGGTCGGGAGACTGACCGTTCGGTCTCGCTGCAGTTAGGCGCCGGTTTCCATCGCAGCACCACGGCTCCCTCCTCCAGCCCCGAGCCCGGCGCGGTTGCCCGGGGGGCTCCTTCAGGCTCCTTGACGCCGCTCCAAGGGACACCTACCTGGGCATCGCCTGGGCCTCCAGTCAAGGGACTGGCACTCGACTTCAGCACTCCTGGCCGCAGTAAGAAGTCCCCTTGTCACCCCGCGCCCCGCCTCCCTACCTATACCATCGAGACCCTGGTCCAGATCAACAGCCTTGGACCTGGAACTAGACCAATCAGAGACTCTCAGCCCTGGCCCCTCTCAGTCGGGGATCTGCATCATCTCTGAGATGTCACCCACCATCTCCCACAAGGACAACAGTCGGCAGCGACGGCCAGGGACTTTCAATCATTCTCTGGATATGAAGAGTGGCCCTCTGCCGCCAGGTGCCTGGGATGACAGTCATCTGGACTTGGTAGGAGGAGAAGGGGACAGAGAAGCTCTTCTGCGGGATACTGGTGATTTCTCAAAACCCCAACGGAGCTACCGGGCTGAATTAAGCAGCATTTTTCTGTTGCTTTTTCTTTACGTGCTTCAAGGCATTCCATTGGGCCTGGCAGGAAGCATCCCACTCATTTTACAGAGCAAAAATGTTAGCTATACAGATCAGGCTTTCTTCAGTTTTGTCTTTTGGCCCTTCAGTCTCAAATTGCTCTGGGCCCCATTGGTTGATGCGGTTTACTTTAGGAACTTCGGCCGTCGCAAATCCTGGCTTGTCCCTACACAGTATATACTGGGACTTTTCATGATATATTTATCCACTCAGGTGGACAGTTTGCTCGGGAATACTGATGGCAGAACCCCCGATGTGGTTGCTCTCACTGTGACATTCTTTTTGTTTGAATTCCTGGCTGCCACTCAGGACATCGCTGTGGATGGTTGGGCGTTAACAATGTTATCTCGAGAAAACGTGGGTTATGCCTCTACTTGCAATTCAGTGGGCCAAACAGCGGGCTACTTTTTGGGCAATGTTTTGTTTTTGGCCCTTGAATCTGCCGACTTTTGTAACAAATATTTGCGGTTTCAGCCTCAACCCAGGGGAATCGTTACTCTTTCAGGTAGTGTATTTAAACTATTAAACAATTGGGTTTATTTTACGTTTATGAATCCTTTTGACAAAGTGTGTGACTTTGAAGAAAAGCTCCTTATTTAATTTACTGGAGATCTTTTTATTGGGTGATGACCCGAGGTAAGTTTTCTTTTCCACTAAAATGAGCTTCAGTCAGAATGACTGCATTGGAGTAATCATAATTAATCAGTACTCTGCAGTGAGCAAGGAGAGGCAACCCAACCAATAACATGTGGAATGACAAACAAAACTCAGGGTAGGGATCTGTGGGTTCTTACCTAATACACAGATGCATATTTTTTAAAAATCTGGCTAGTTTGAAGACTGGAATCCAGCCTGACATCTGTTGTTCATATTTTCCTTTTTTCTTTCCTTGGATGGAGATTTCTAGCTCCATGCTTTCTGGTTCATTCTATACCAAGAGTCCTCATTTAGCCCTTTGCGAAAGGGTTAATTCATTCAAACATTAACTAATTGGCTAAGTGACAGTTCTAAAGGCCTGCTATAAAGCAGAGTCCAACCCATAGGGAATGAGAGAGATGTACATTTTAGAGCAGCTCAGAGTTGCCAGTTAACTGCTTGTGGGAGTTAGGCTTCACAAATATTTGACCTTTTTGAGTTATAAGATTACATGAAGTGGATAAGTGGAATTCCAGAATGCACAACGACAGGTGAAAATACACTAAAACAAAATACAAAAATGTACAGGACAGAGCCTATGATGTTCAAAGTGCCTGCACCAGTAAACCCTGGGGACTTGGTTTGGGAAATGTTGTGACTAAATTAGTAAGATTTCCTTTAATTGCTGTAAGAAAGAGTTTGAAGTTCACCCAGTAAGAAATTGGGTGTAAGTTCTACAAACTCTCCCCGTTTACTACATTAGTAAATACATGCCTCTGTAAGGTTTTCTGAGATTTTTTTTTTTAACTTTCCTAAAAACTAGGAAACAGAAGTGAAATTACCAATATCGGGAATAACCAACATCAGGATTATTGTAGAATTTTTCTTTCTGGTAGTGATGATGAATTTACAGAGATAAACTCTCTCATCTTTCCAGTACTAGACTGAGGATTCCCAGCAGGGTGAATGTCAGGGGTAGGTGTGTGGTGAGGGAAGTGTAAGAGTTATATCATATTTGGGGAGGAAGGAGGGATTCACAACTGAATTACTCATCTTCTGAAATCTTAGACAACCCCAGTATACCCCTACCCACTGTAATGGACCCCTTTTTACCTTCTCAAACTGCTAGTGAGCCATTACTACTGATGTAATGATAAGTATACTTTTCATCAGTTGGTCTGAGGCCAAATATGGTTGAGACATCATTGCTTTGCACTAGATAGATTTGTCTCTGAATCTTCTGGGGTTCCACTCCTGCTTTTTGGATAAAGGTATGCCTAGAAATAATTTGCGAATGCATCAAATTAACACCTTGTTGCTTTTCGTGTCTTGCTTTTGATTATGTACTGGGACTGTTCATATCACCAAGAATGACTAATGAGATGGTCTGTTACTTAATGTAGGAAAGTCTCAGTAGAGAAATCAAAATTTAAGAAGCTATGGAAACTAAATTACCAACAAAATAAATTAGAACTTTCTCTTATGTATGGTATGAGTGACTGACAAAACATCATTCCGGAGGATGCAGTCCTCCCTTAAGCCACAACTGTTCCCCAATGAGGTCAAAATTGTGCTGTGGAAGTTTTATTTACATTGGTTTGTTGTTTTGAATAGCTTTGGAATTCAAAACTATGGAATTTGAACTTTGTTCTCCATGAAATTGCAAAAATTACTTTTTAATTCAGCTTTTCGTATCTGTACTGGATTGCTGTTTTTGGTTCAGACATTTTAGTTAAGGGTTGAAGAGTCCCTGCATTTTCGTTTGTCTCTTTATGACTGCACATATCACATTTATAGCCTTGTACCTTTGGAACTTAAGGTACAAGGAATTTAAAGAGCACAAATAATCATGAAGGAAATAAAATTGCTTAGGTAATGAAAGAAGAGCCAAATATTGAGGAAGATGCTTAGAAAATCAGAAAATTAAAAGTAGGCATAATTATTTTGTAAAATTCTAAAATATATTCAGTTTTTAACACCATGGTGATAGAATATAGTGAGAGAATAGTTTTTGTTATCTAGAAAGCAGTAATCTAAATAGTATATACAAAATGGTAAAGATAGGATGAGAATAGAATCTCTTAGAAACAAAACCTCGATTATGCTGAGATTGGCTTTTTAATACCTTCAAGGATCGAAGACAGTACTGAACTCAGAAGTAGGCTTTTCTTATCCTTGCCATATCTAGTTTTCAAACACTTTTAGTAACAAAAAGAGATGACTTTTTAAGCTGCAAGAACTGATTACAGTAACCCAGAAGAACAGAAATGAAAACCTAAAGTTTTATGATTTGGAAAAATCATATATTTCAATTCCTTCATTCTTATAGATGAAGAAACTGCAGCCAAGTAGCTATAGAGGTAGAGCTATACCTACAGCTTAGGTTTCCTGATTCCTTAAATCTACTAACTGTATAATGTAACATAATAAAATATAATATGTGCTGATTGGGCTTTCCTACCGGAAAGAAGTAGCACTCTGACTGCTGATGTCTAAAAATCATCAGCCCGCTCCTGGAATGTCTAATGCCCAGAAGTGACAGCTTAAAATTTTTCTGTTTTGTTATTCACTTACTTAGCATTGAGTGCCTATTTGGTGCTAGCCATGTGATGAGTGAGACTGCAAACTCTCTGCTCTCAAGGAATTTATAGTCTAGAGTGGAGGTTTGTAAACCAAAATGATGGAGAGGGTAAATGGATAATGCGATGAGTCAAGTGAGTTGGTGCAAGACTATAGGGATTGGAGGGGACAGTGATGACCTGAGAAATCCATGCTCATCTAAAGGCATGGATCTGCAACTCCAATAAATTGTCTTGTGACAATAGTCTCCCAGAATTACTAGATTGGATGAGTATTCAAGAGAAGCTGGAAATTTCTTTGTTTTTTTTTCCCCCTAATTTTAAAAACATTAATTAAACTCATTAAATATGTCTTTTGGCCAAGTCCAGCCTTTGAACTGGTAGTTGAGGCCCACTCTTTTAGAAGCACTGGTAACAATAATGAATAGAAGAAGTGATTGGGATAGGGAATGGGAAATTTGGGTTTGGGGGCAGGAAGCAGGATAGTCTGATACCAGAGGAGAGAGATAAACATATTAGAATTTATGAATCAGTTTGTTCATAGATAAGCATACAAATATAGGAGAAAAAAGAGAAAAAAGAAATGTTGCTTTGAAAAAACTGGTGCTGTAAGCGTGAAGCTAATCAAATTGGTGATGTTACTAGTAAAAACTATGTATTTGTAAAACATTTATGCTTTGAACTAGAAAGAGAGCAGGACCAATTAATTCTTAGTGACACATTTCTTTCTCTTGTTTTCTAAAGCGATATTCGTTAATATATTTTATGCGACTAGAAATGCTATTTAGAATTTGGGTAGAACTGACCCATTTTTAGATAGATCAGTTATTCTTATATAGGCTATAATATAGCCTTTATATTATAAAGGCTATATTAGCATCTTTATCTAGGCTGAAAACATTCTCCTATTCTCAAAAGAAAACTGTAGAGATGGAAAACAGATCGTAGTTGCCAGGGGTTGTGAGTGAGGGAAAAGGTACTGTAAATGGATAGCCTGAGGGAAGTTGGGGAGTGATGGAACTCTTCTGAGTCTTGATCATGGTTGTGGTAATTTGAAATTTATACATGTGTTAAAATTCATAGAACTGTACACTAAAAAATATTTAGTTTTACTGTGTAATAATTTTAAAAAGATTTCTAAAAATTAAAAAAAAAACTAATCCATTACCTTCAAAGCTAATCTCTGGGTAAAAATGATATGAAATCCTTGAGTTTAGCTCTCTTTTTGCCTTGAATGGAACAAGTTTGTAAATCTGGTGGCTTCAGTAATTACAAGCATCTATATCTCCTATTTTCGTTTATAGTGTTTCAAAAAAACACTATAAATTTGAGAAAGCAAAATGTACTTAACTAGTAAAGGAGATATTGTTCCTAGAAAATTAAAAATGAAAATTAAAAAACCCTGATTTCACCTGTTCTTTTATCTATCTATCTATCTATTTATCTATCTATCTATATCTATCTATCTATCTATCTATCTATCTATCTATCTATTTATTTATTTTTTAGACGAGGCAACCCTTGCCTAAAATCTGCAAACTCACAGATTGCAAGGACCTCGTCAGTTTACAATCCCTTATTTTTTATTTTTTACGCCTACAGCACCTGGTCTTCCTAGGTAGTCTCTCATCCAAGTACTAACCAGGCCCGATCCTGCTTAGCTTCCGAGATTCACTTGTTCTTTTAGACATAATTTTGGATAAATCTGGCATTTTGTACATGTTCTTTAATTTCATTCTTTTTTATTATTTCATATTTTTAAATTTTAAATTTATATGTTTTACATTGTACACAATATATTAGTATAGGAGATCACAAATACATAATTTACATGTGAGTGTGCATGCTAAAACATTTTTAAGGATGGAATGCATATTCAAAAAGCAAGATGTCGGTTACCTTCCACTATCTCTACTTCTTGGTTTAGTGTCACCTAAGATTCTTTTTTTTCATTCTTTTCCCTCACTTTTGAACATATTCCTCACTTGCTGAAGTCCAGTGGTTATCAATTAAAGCTACAGAATAGGTAATTTCAACATACATAAAAGATTTCCATTTTTTTATATTTTATATTTTACATTTCAGATCTACATATCTCATTCCTAGCAGTCTTAGAACATTTATATTCTTAAATTTCCCATTCATTTTTTTAAACTTTATTTTATAATAATTATAGACTCATAAGACATTGCAAAGAAATGTTTAGTGAAGTTCTATGCACCCTCCCCCCCGCCTCCTCTCCTAACATTAGATAATTATAGTATAATATCATAACCAAAAACTTCACATT